CACCGTCTCTAATAAAGACTATTCTGTGTACTTGACTGTATCTATTTTTTCTCTTTGGTTCTTTCCTCATGTGTTATTCTTGGTTGTTGTCTCTGGCACATGCTTTTGTTGCTTTCTTTGTGAGGTAAGAATCTGAAAGGCTTAATACTGGCTTCTTCTGCTTGTTTCAACTGATCAAAGAGAAGTAATTTTTTGTGCAAATATTGTGTGCCACTGGTGGGTAGGTTAATCTCAGCATATTCGTGCAAATCTTATACTATCATGATACTATACATGCATATATAGTTCAGGCATTGCATTCATCATATACATTCCTTATAGATTAGATTCTCCTTTTTATTTGTTTTATTATTTTCTCTTTGCACATAATAAGGTCCGTTTATCTATTTGTCCCCTTTATTACTCTTTTGGATATTCATTGTGCTGTCAATCAGGCATGCATGCTCATATATGTGAAAAACAAAGGATATTAATTAAGCTCCTATATGTAGACAAGGTATGTGCTATGTGCATTACACTTAATTAGGAGTATTAATCATGTAATTAATATGGCTGTCCAATTCAAACACCTAAATCAGTACTACTAATAAACACTAAAATATGGTACTCGATTGAATCTATAGCTAGCTAACCCACCTTGCAATTAGCCAGCCAATTCTATCGGCCCACAAGGTTTAGCTAGCTGTACTAATAATTTGCTAGCTAGCTATATAGCCATCTTCCATTTATTAGCATAAATATACATAACACTATATGTTGCCCACTATAATAATGGTGGCAGGTCAATATTGCGTATCAATTTCTTAATTTGGAGGCTTCTATACCAATGCAACAAAATATATACTCATTTCATCTGATCCACTCTGTTAGCTTATGTGTGTATACTTTGAGTTAATTATTATGTTTTTATCTATTGCACTGCATAGTGGGCCAGTATCCAAATCCAACAGAACATCCAACTATGATAGCATTTTAGCATGCTGTGAATTATATGAAGTTTCCACATTTAATCAGTAGTTCACATAAAAACATTGTATTTTCTTTCCTTTATTATTGGTGAAATAATAACAACTGCAGTCAAGCAAGAACAAAATATGCACTGAGTGAAATACATATACACCGGGGTAGACATCACACATGGTTAAGTAATAATGCAACATTCAACTTTGGAGTGAACTTGACGGAGACCGGGCTGAGAAGATTAAATTTTGTTGATCACTCTAAAAAATGATGAAACTAACTTGTTTGTGTTGAATGAGAATGTCATGTATATATAGACACAACTCTCTGTTTTCATGTTAGGGAACTCAAAAGAGAACCTAGCTAGCTTGTTGAAAAATAAATCACTATGATATATCATATGCCTATATGCAACGCCGAACATAAGGATTAGGGCAAAAATGCTGTTGTGGTAAAAGCTTGAGAGGGGATTTAATATATTTAGGGTTTGCTTCTGTTTTTCAAGTGATTTGATGACTAGTTTTGTACTTAAGGGGTCATTTGTGTACATTATTCATTGTCGTTGGTAGTCACAGCTTATTTGTTTTAATTCCTTTTTTACATATTTGCTAACACCGAAAACTGCATATTCATGGGAAGCGGGTTTTCATAAGATCCATTTCTTTATTTATATATAATATGAACAAGGGAGCATGTCATACTGGTTATTAATAGTTTCAAGTTACTGTTACCACATGTTTCTAATATTTTAATATATGGTTTCCCACAATATTTTATTTTACATATATATGTAACAGCTAGTAGTATAAAAAAACAATACACAAAACAATTTCTACAAGCTATACATATGTGATGCAAAGCATAGTAGAGTAATAAAGAGTCATGAATTGACAATAACTTATTGGAAAAATAATGTCAAAATACTTGTATACAAATATATATAGTGAATTAAATTACCATCTGTTTTTTTCTGTCACATCTGGCCCAAGAACTGATAGATGATCAATAGGAGGAACTTTTCGTCTTTATATTTTTTAAGCGAATAGCTAGAGAGTTTTTTTAAGCGAATAGGGAGTTTTCGAACCACCTTTGAGCTATCATTTATTAAGGGTAAAACTATTTCCTAAATGTAGCGCAAAGATAGATAGATCGTTGGAGCCGAAGGTAATTAATAATTCAAATTAGTTTTCAAGTCAAACTTCATTTTTTTTCGTCAGGCGTTTTGTTGTAGAATCTGCAGAACTCACGTTACAGTTGTCGCCAGCTAGATGGACAAACTTGTTCCATGCATCAATTGGACATTGTCGACATCAAAAATTAATTTGAATGGACCATGGTATCTGTTGCCTTCAGTAATATCTGTTATATATATGCTCCATATATAACGTACTATATGAAGCTAGCAAGTTTTCTGCCACTATCTGCATCTGAAATGATACATATAAGCCTGATTGTTTTTCTGTTTTCCGGATGAGAAGCATGTGAGTATGTGACTGTAAATGCATGGTGTTTTTAGTGATACATATATAAATAAGATGCATGCCATTTTTTGCATCTAAGTTGAACAAAAAATTGGAATACCTTGCAACATCTAAATAAGATGACACGAGCTCTGGTTTCAGATGTTACTAAGTTATCAATTTGTCCTTGCATTCGTTCTCTTACAGGGAAGAGCAATGTTTTGACGTTAGTTGTTGGGACTTTTTTTTGTCGCCTATATATGTAGCACGAGTTTACTAAAAAGAACTTCCGGTGCAAACTAATATACTACTACCTTACAATTATATCATGAGACAGATGTTAATACTAGGTTCTCAACTTTGTCCTCGAGTTAATAATGCTCATTTTTTGCATGATGATAAAGCTAATTGGAACTTCTAACCATCACGTTTATAGGTGCAATCTGCTCAAGTACTTGCCTAGCTCGTCAGAACTTGGGTCCTTCCCTTTTTGCAGTCTTTCGTTTTGCTGTCTGGTTTTAAAGATGTTTCTTTGATCTAAAACTCTTTCACTTGCTTTTGTTGCGCACGAGATTTTGTTCTATTCCTACATGAATGAATTTTTTTATGTACATCTGGCAAGGTCATATGAATTCCTACATTCCAATTAAGATTTTTTTTTGCCTAAAATATACAGTAGAGATGTATACGCTATGGAATATTTGGAAGAGAGCCCCTTAATGAAGCACGTGCTAAGCACGCTTTTGAAAAAAAAAAGAATATTTGGAAGAGAGTGGATCCACACCTCTTCAAAATTGAGAAATGCAAGCATGGACATGTACGTCGGTTTTCTTTTTGGAAGATGCAAGTACCCATTAGAGGCGGAACCAGGACTTTTGATTAGGGGGCGGACAATACGATAACACCTCATAAATGTTGATGAATATATGTATCAAGTGTATGTCTCAATAGTTTTTCAATACTTTTACAAATATATTTAGTATTCATAGTGAAAAATCACAGTATTATCATAAAAATGGATGAAATGATAATTTTTTGTGCTATATGATTAAAATATTTATATACTATTAAAAACTTTTCACTGTGTTAGGGGGGGGGGCACAGCCCCTGCTGCCCCCTGGTTCCGCCGGTGGTACCCATACTAATAAGCACATGTCGGACCCCTATATCGATATTTGAGCATCTCCAACAAGGACCTTAAATAGGGTTTGTACCTTTTTTTTGCCAGAGCAAAAAAAAATCCAAAAAAGCCCTAACCCAAGTCCCTATTTTATGTAGGCCCTCAAATCTCTCCTCTCGGCCCCATCCCCTAAGTGTACGTAGGAAGGTCTCTACTTTTACCAAGGAAATATTTTCCCGCAACAATCCATTCCCGTGTTTTTTTTGTCTTGGCTCTCTCCGACACCACCGCCTTATTCCACTCCTCTGGCGAGCTCCCCTCCGTGACACCATCCCATCCTTGCTAGGCCTATTTAATGCGGCTCCTTTCCTCTCAACGAGACACTCAACCCCACCACGACTCCCCTCCATGTGTCATGTGTCATCGATTGGACCTTCCCTGCCATCTTTGGTGCTCCTCTTCCTCCTCTAGCGCGCCCCCATAGCTCGGTCGATTGGAAAGATAGTGGGTGTGGCTGAATGACCAGGGTGGGTCTTATATGCCAGTGTCTACTGGAAGTCCACTGGAATGGATTTGAAGGCTCTGATTTGAGGGCTTCTATTAGAGTAGATGTAAAAACATAGACGCTTAAGAGTAGGAAACAGATCCTTAAGAGTAGAGGAAGCTCTCAAATCAAAAGTAGAGTCCTAATTTGAGGGCTCCTATTAGAGATGTGCTTATATAGTTAAGTTTGTGGAGCTAAAACATTTGGATAGGTCCTAGGGCATAAGGAGGGGCTGAGTGTGAGGGGGGGCCAAGCACCTCCTATTATGCTAGATAAATTCCTTTTATGTATATGAATTTTCACTATGTAATTCAATAAAAATTAATAATTTAGTCTCTGAGTATTTTAACTTTTAACATGTGTCCTCTTATCAGTAATTTATAGCTTTGCCTCTTGGCTTGGAATGAAGTTGGAACTTGGAAACTCCAGAGTGGAGCTTTTCTAAACACCCCTTAAGCTGTCAGAGTCTGTTCCATCATATGGACCCTAAATTCCTAATTAAAGTGCGCTTGCCTAGTACGTACGCAATTGAGGATTTAAAAGTGTGTAAACACTCTCTTAAATTGTACAATTTTTATTTGAATTTGTCCTTGCCACGGGTATTGGGATATTATTATATACAGTATATACGACAGTAAAAGCTACATCAATGGAAAAAGGGTGTCAGCTGTTAACTCGATTGAGATTTGAGCCACAGGTCACAGGTTAGCTATAGTGTCATCAGGGCCGTGTGAGCTGGGAGATCGCTTAAACCAGGCCAAAACACAGGTTAGCTATAGTGTCATCAGGGCCGTGTGAGCTGGGAGATCGCTTAACCCAGGCCAAAAGTACGCACGTACACTAAAATTCAAACCAAACAAAACGCAAAATCATTACACGATGCATGCCGGGCAGCCAGGCACGCGCGCGTTTCGATCTAAGCGATGGCCGGGAGCGTGAGCGTGCCGACGAAGGGGAAATTGAGCTGCGGCAGCGTAACCAGCTGCCGGCGGCCGGGGGCGGACCCGGACCCGGACCCAGCCAACGCCGCTCCTGCGACCATCTCCATCAGCGCCTTCCTGATGGGCCGCAGCAGCTCCGCGACGAGCCGCCACCGCACCAGCCGCGACACGGCCAGCCGGCCGCAGCTCCTGCGCCGCCGCCCGAGCCACACCGTGCCGCCGCCGTGCTGCCGCCGCAGGCGCAGCTGCTTCTGCCGCCGCGCCCGCCGCTCCCTCCACCCGCCGCACCACCGCACCACCGAGCCCAGCCTAGCCATGGTCTCCCCGCCCCGATCTCCACTACTTATGCTCTCTTTCACTCTCTGGCAACAATTCGCTCAGCTGGGGATGCTGTGCCACTGCCACTCCAGTGAAGTGACTGAGCTAGTATATATAGCCAGTGAGAGGGGGTGTAGCATTTGCGGTATCAGTAAGTTATTACAGCTAGCCTGCTGTGATGATGATTGCCATCAGTGAAGAAAGCACGCTATATATAGGCTCGCTAGGTAGCTAAAGCCCTTCCATCTCATGACACTAGCTCACAACATGATATATACTAATTGACCATTTGCATGGCAGGCTATAAGTGTGTGTCCCACAAGAAAAGGATGCGATGGATCATATATGTCGTCACACGCTAGCTGCATATATGCATGGTACTAAGTGGTACTACAGGCGGTATTGTATATATACATTGTGGCGTATATATATTCAATTTTTTTTTTTTGCAAAAAGGGACATTGTGATATTCTACAACATGTGGCCAACTCGGGGTGCGGCTAAAGCATGCCAAAGACCTTAATTATGCTGTGGAACGTGGCCTAGCTAGCTAGCTAAAATGCTTTGGTTTGTCATGGACAAAATGGGTGCATGCTAGCTAGGGCCGCGTGAGGTGTTGTTGGTTGGTTCTTGGTGACATGAAGGGATGCCTACACACTTTTGGGACCATCTTGGGATAACTAAGATCAATTTAATAAGGAGATTATATCCGCTTTGAAGGTTGTAGGGATTACTAGTGGCACCCATTGTGGTTTCTTATGCTAATTTAGTTAATTTATTTAAACTAGCCAGCTATGGACTGTGGTGGTGTAATGGAGGGCCTGTCTAGCAACTCAAGGTGGATACTAATTTACAGTTAATGTGATGATTGGAGAGCCATATATATATTTATATATGTTCTCAATTTGGTACTTCATCTCAATATCTCATCACCTGATGTTGGCTGTATTAAATTAAGGAGGAATCTATAGCCTACAGGTGAGAAGATTGGGTAGATTTTTATTTGTGTGAGGTTTAAGAGCGATGGATATGCTAGTTTAATTCGATGCGTGGTACATGACGATGGCTGCCCATTTGTAATCTTCGAAACGGATGTGAAGGGTTGGATCATCACATCATGGTGATTTTTGAATTGAGCCCCTCATGGTACGTGCTATCAGTCAAATTTAAGCAAAAACTCTGCCGGGGTTCGCGTACTTGCCAGACTAAAAAACCGGGCGCAAGACAAAAGCAATCTCTACCTAGCTAGGATGTAAAGTTGTCCCTGCTGCTGCTATGGTCCCTACACTGAAGGTTGTTCAACAACACCAACAAAATTTTCAAAACAACAACAACAGAGAGAGGACTGAAGTTGCAAAGGTAAATAAGGAAGAACTGGCTCATTGAGCACAAAACGCACTAGTAAGTGCCTCTTAACTCTTAAGTAATAACATGAGCTAATCACTAATAGGGTTTGGCACTGGTAACCGTCCGAATGGGATGGGATAAACATCCCATTTCTGTCCGGCACAAGTCCACTTCTGATGAGTAGTGGCAGGACCGCAGGACATGGCATCACGGCCCCAACTTGATGAGCAGCTTAGAATATTGTTATCGTATCAGCAAGTAGCCTAGCCAGTTTACATCAGGCTAGCTAGCTCAGCTAGTCTCCTCCCCTGCGTTGTTCTACTCCTACATGCCTAGTGCTAATTAATCCCGGATTAGGCGGACCACGTTGACACGACGAGCAATCGATCCGTTCTGATCCATGTGTCAAGTCCAAATCTTTAATCCAAAAAAAATGCAATGAATTTCTCGCGAATTTCTCCAAAAAAGGACAAAAGTGGAGCCCGCGACGTGGACTTGCCTCCTTCCGGAAATACTACAGACCGTTGCCGTTTGGCGTCTCGGCGGCACTTGACTCTTCGGTGCTTGTCCCGTTGTATGTAGAACATGACGAACGAAAGAGACGGAATGTTTGGAATTTGGGTCGACCATAAAGTCTCTGTGGGACACCAATAGAATAGAGGTGAAGTATGGCTTACTCCTAACTTGTTGCTGAACTTTAAAAACCTTCTTGAATTCCAAAATCAAACAACATATACATCTTAACTTTCAAAGTCAGATAAACTAGCCATTTCAATGTGGTTTCTTGGGTGATTTTGCTGATGTAACGCCGGGACTCACATGTCAGATGGTCTATCTCCCTCTCTTATATCAAAAGATCATAACTAAAAGATGGCACGACTAAAGAAACCAAAAACATGTAGGGTCTACATGCCATATCAACCAAAACCACCATAAAAATACTCTAAACTATTTTAAGAGGTAATTGGGTGTTTTCTATTCAACGACAAATCCAGTGGGCAAATCAAACTTTATACAATATCACGGCAGAAGAGAAACCTGATCAAAGTTGGACAACCACAGAGGCTGTTTCTCTACATTTCTCTAATCCACAGTGAGAAGCAGAGTGCATTTCTCTGGTCCACAGTGAGAAGCAGAGTACAGTCAGACAAAATGAAGGCCAAGCTACGTGTTTACCTTAGGAGCTGACTCTTGGCAGGCGGTAGGCGAGCGACTGGAAGCAAACGAGCTGACTATTGGCTGGCGGTAGGCGAGCGACTGGAAGCAAACAAAAATCGCGCCGTAACGTGCCAACCATGCCGATAATCGAGTCCAAAATCTTTCATTTGGCACTGGACAAGATGAACAACACGCCAGATCGATGTGTCCAAATGATTATTAGAGGAAGGAAGAAAATGCAGCTCCTGGTGTCCCATCAATCAACATTCAGACCACTACGCGTACATATTTTTCAAATTATAATAGTTTTCCCCTATGATTACGAAAGAAATGTGTGTTTCCGCGTCGCGCGAGACTCAGAGAGGATTCCAACGCAGTCTGGTGCATTTCGCCTTGCATGACTCCCCTCTCCTCGCCCGAAAAGGCAAACAAAAGAAAAGGGACGAATAATCGAACAAATAAATAATGCGTGACAGATATGCACAGGTTGGCCATCAGAGCACCAGAGGTTCCAGGAGAGTTCCAGCTGAGCATATATTAAAGGTGATTCCATATAAAGTCATTAAATGACGCCCTTGTCATCAATCAAAGAAATAAAATAAAGTAAAAGAGGCACAACGGAACAGCATGAACGCCGTATCGTATTACTAAAAAAGAGCGTTGGTTTTGATGTCTGGAGCTCCAACACTCGATGGTGACTTGAAATCAAGAGCATGTACAAGCACTCATAAGTTGTGAAAAATAATCAGGCTTTAATGAGAAAAGGAACCAGCAGACAAGGCACAACAGATCATTTACAACTAGTAGGATATCTTATCTTAAAAGTACCAGAAATCCTTTCCAGGGTTGCCTATACCATATCAAATCAGCTGCATAAGGTTACACATGATATCGGTAATATGTTAACAGATCACAACCAAAAAGAATGTTAAAGAGAAGCAAAAAGGTTGGTGTCATCACATCTCGATGTCCTCTAGCTGAGGAAGGGGAAAACGAAGTATAGCTGCTATTCCTGTCAGTTGCGCTAACTCTGTTCAAACAAAGGGCAAGTGTAATTTAAATACAAGAATGCAGCAAACATTTTAAAAGTAAATAATGTTTTCCCAATTGCTTCCAAAGAATAAAATCTATGATTATTATTTAAAGCATGCTACATTATACTAATCCGGACACTAATTAATGACGTTTCGAACATGCAAAATCACTTGTTCCTTCCCTTTTAGATTTTTTGATGAAACGTCATTTATTAATGACCGGACGGAGTAAGAGCTTAGTGTGTACATTTTCATTGATTACAGTGGAAACTGACTAAATGAATAATCATAGACAAATCATATGATAAATGCGAAGTACTCACGTTCGCCAGAGACATGCATTGAGGAAAATATGTGCACTGTGCTATTACTTTTCTTGACATTTTCAACCAAGTTCACATACTTTTGCCTCGTAGCAATGTCAGTGTTCCTGTAAGTGAAGAGAAGGTTTGATTGTTATTCTGACCAGTCACCACAGGAAATTCCATGTAGTAAAGTACTACCAAGGACAAGTAGGATAGAACGGAGTAGGGAGAATATTTCAAATTAGAAGTTTAAGACATAGGTAAAGTAGTTGTAATGCATAAACTCCTGTTTCAAATCATATTAGATGTGCATAGGAACAATATGTTCAGTACTGTGTATTGGACATCACTTGTTATGGCCGGCATAACAGTAAGGAATTGTTGATTGTTGACCGAGGACCATAAATTAAGTGCTCTTGTGGAAATGACCAGTTTGAAAATGCTGTTAATGTCATTAGCTGAGTTCAGTGACAAGATGTCCCTAGAATATGATTTGCAATGAAAGAAAAGGTAGCCTACTGCCTACATCCAGGAATGACTGCATTCTTTTCCCAAGTTTGTACTCATTATTAGTTAGGTCTGATGATTGCTACTGTGGTCATCTTGGTATCGAGTGCCATATATATCAGGGAAATTAAGGACAAGAAAACTAACATTTTTTTTTGGAAATCCCAGATAGTTCATTAATCTAATCTATTGTTTCCTCGTAACATGCAAGGCAAAACCAAATATCCTTAGCTAGTTACGGCAGCTTAGATAGCCTAATATAAGAGCCTGCATGGTTCTTCTCCAAGAGAGATTTGTCTTTATTTTCTAGGATTGTAATCTTTCTTATGTTCTATTGACAATCACAACAAATCGAAGTTTTATGAACAGCAGCTTACCGAAACAAAGTATCAGTTATTAAAAGAGTCTGGACAGCAGCATACTGTTCATGTGCAATCTCAACATGCTTTGGACCATAACAAGCACGAGCTGGGTCCTGAAATTAATCAGCAAACAGATATGCTTCAACTAAGTGCATTAGCAGCTATAATTCATACAGATAAAATCCTTATTTAACTTTATGTTTTAAAAGGGCACAAGTTAACACGCATAGAGGGTTAACTCAAAACAGTAGCACCAGAATAGAGAAATTCCATTAGTTATTGCACACTTAGAAACTGTTAAAAAAATCACTTGAAGACACTTACATTAGTAAGCATATTGAAGAAATCCTGCAGAGCTCGGACCTGCAAAGTAGAAATTAGAAAACAAATACAAAGATTAACAACTAAGAGAATATGATATTATCTGTTTATACTGAGTGTATAATGTGCATTAAAAAACCGAAGTGTTTAAGAAAGCTTCATACATAAATTAGCATATCTAGTAACATGTATAATTTATAGTCAGGCTTACCTCCTGTGCTGCTTTTGTATCTTTTATCAGTGCCATCACACCTGGGGTATCCAAAACTTCCTTCAAACTATGCCTAACAAATGAAACCAGCAAACAAATAGAAATTAACTTAGGACACTTGAAAGGGTAAAAGGGCAAAAATATGATCAAATAAATAAGTAACACGATCCAGTAGTCATTTAGCAAATACAGAATTAGCTAAGAGGATCATCGTTCCAGAAGGACCATCTATGAAACAATAGTAATTGACAATATAAGTTTCCCAACAGATCAGAAAACTAAACTGCTAATGCTAGCCAGCTTGCATAAAACTGTACATATTACACTGTTTAAGAATCGGTACTAGTACCTTATCCCCACGTAACAAAACTATCCAGGCATAGAAAGATGGAAGAACTCACTTGTAACCTGATGTTGCATGTGCCAGAACAAGGCGTTGCTTGTTCTCAATTATTACTCTTAAATCTCGCCGTGCAGCTTCAAGAAACAAATAATCACGAAACTGATCCTGTTATGATAAAAAGGGAACCAAAAATCAACTTAAGTTGATATTTTTTCCTTAGCATACGAGTATTCAACTTTATGCAAGTAACGGTGGTAACTAGCACATAATGACAGATGGATTTTGACACCAGACTTAATGAAGAGTGAACACACGCCTAGCAGCACACAGATGAGACTTATGCCCCTTATAAAGGAGCTACTGTATAGTACATTGTTTCCCCTTTAAGAAAGTGAGGATTACCTTCGTAAAACCTGGGCTTGCAATTACAACACACTGGACTACTTCAAAATCAATGTGTTTCAGCAATGCCTTCAACCAAGTAGATGTAATGCATCGGTCAATTGTTGCCTGTATGCATGTTCACATTTGCATAACTTCGTGTGAATAGCTTACTTGCAAAACATGCTCAAAGAACTTCTTGAGGGCCTACAGAACAACAGAAAGTGGAAATCAGTAGGAAGTAAACATAGCAATTTTGTCATGTAGTTAATTAACAGAACCAGTCATCATACCGTCTCATAGCCAGCAATTGCAGGGCCATGCTTCCTAGGAATTGATGTTTCAATACGTGCCCGGGTTGCTGTTATGCTGTTCAGAGGAATCAAAACCATTAAAAAGACAACAAGAAAATGATACATCAGGATGCCATATATATGGCAATACATGTTCAGTTAAAAATATAAATTATAATCTTGAAATGTGTAACCGCTTAGGGAGAGGAAACCTACAGATAAAAATATATTCAGAATATTTCTCCTTTTTCTTATTTTCACATTCATGGAATTACTATTCCTCCGAAAGTGCCAACAATGAATAAATGGCCCACATATACAGAACAGGAAAAACATATAAAAGGTGTGCAGAAAGCAAAGGATTTATACAGGTGGTGCATAGACACTCTTAGCATGAGTGAACCAGAGTCCAGAAGTGCTAATTCTAAGAAATGAACTCTTATGTACTAGATAACAACATTGACATCTTAGACACATAAAATAAAACAATTAAATAAATATTAAAAATCAAATATTTGTTATTTTGTGATGGCGCAACAGTTCCACACACCTTCTGCCAATGAGGAATAGGTGGGCAAGTCCTTCTTGCATGAGAATAACTGCTAGATCAGCACTTGCAGCAGGATCTACAATAGGTTTGGATAGACTCAATTAAAACACTATGTTTCATATAGATAAACAACAGACAATGAGGCAATTCAGAAAAGCTAATCTCAGGAAATGGAGCCAAATAGTGGTTATATCTTGGTTAAACTCACAAGATGGTAAAGCACAACAGGTATCATATGCACACCATGTTAAATTGTTAACACCAACTTATTTTAGAAATGGAAGAAGAGATTAATATTTGATTGAGCAGATAATCCATATATATACAAATGACGGGTCAAAATCACATACCACATGCTTGCTGGATGGTCTCAAGTGCCAGCCAATCCCAAATTTCCTACATAAGATGCACATGCTTCATTGAAGAAAAAAGTAGCAACGAAAAAGATTGAAACGCATCACCCCGAGAAATATCAATTAACGCTCCAAAATTCCACTGCAATGCAGCATGATGAGCATAGTGGAGAGGATACTACTCTTAACATCAATAGCGAAAAAGAGAAAAGCTGAAACATTCTGATTGCTTTCCGAAGTACAAAGTTATTATAAAAATTACAAGCAAAAAAAAACTGAAAAGAACATTAGGTTCATGGGCAACAATCATCAAGCTCAGAAGATAGGGACAAAACAATGGCACTATCATGCCTCAAACTGCAAGCTTTTAATTTGGTAGTAAATAAGTGGAAACAATAAGCATAATCGGCATAGGAAACATTGCATAGGTAGCCAGAGGTCTCATGTCAAGCAATTCAAAAAATGTTGATGACTTTTGTATGCTTATTAGAATGTACAAGTGATGTGGCAGCTGATGGAGGTGCTTAGTTTTTCCTATTACATTAACAGGTTGGCCTTGCCACATAAGATACAGAAGAAGGGTTAAGCTTATATGAAGAAGAAGAAAAAAAAACTGCACATGTTTGGACATCCTAAGAATATGGCAGGACCTGTAATTTATATAGTAGAGTGTAGACAAACAGCTGCTAGTACATTATTACAAGGTATCCAAGCATTCAAAAGTTGTCCTAAATAATAAGGGATTCTAGATGAACCAACCCTCCAACTCAGTTTAAAAAGGCAACATTCACATGCATACCTACCATTAATTTCTACTTTTTATAAGGACTATTAATTTCTATTACTAACCCAAATAGGTAACCAAGAAGGGTTATATGTGTCATTTGGTTTACCACATAATATGTTCTAAATTTCCTAGGAATACCTTGTATTCCAAGACAGTGGGAGTAAGTATTAACTGAAAAGAGAGAAGTATCAGGCTATACCATAGGGTTAAAAATCAGAATAATTAGATCTTTCATATTTATTGAGATAAACTTGCTTGATATTTACACAATACCTTTTGTAGAACAAAAGGTCTCTTCAGCTCAAGCTCTAACGTGTGGAACTGGCCAATCTTCATTCAGGAAGAAAGAGATTAGCTTAACAAGGTTATTTGCATCACATAGTAGTATTATTAAGTAAAAAAATCACTAACCTTCACATGATCATTCTCAGTGATATTTTTTCCACGCACACGTAAGACAGATCCCTCCTTGTCATAGTCTACAGACTTCATTACAAAACAAAGGACACACTCAGTTATCAACGTCGACAAAGTGGTTAAGGTTTAATAGTATTGGAAAGGATAGGAAACAAAGCCAAAAGAAACAGAGAAAATAAAATCAACAGCTAGAAATATAACAGGTTTGTTTAACTAGATCCTCCTAAAAGTATTTGCTCAGTTTTGACAGAACTATCAGTTTACGCAGCATTTTTTTCCAGGCCTTTTTTCACACATGTCTGGAATAGAGATATCCTGAAGTCCGCAACAATTTTAACCCACAACTCCACAAAGTTGGCTAACTTAACAGCCAACAATGATGGCTGACAATTCACATGTCAAAGGATAATATATGGAATCATGGAGAAAGAAAGACAACACAGAAGGATGATGCATCACCTCAACTACAATTTCTAACTTAAGCTTCACACGCTCGGCATCACGTCCTCCAGATGCCACCTCTCTCAGCACTTTCCTGGAACCAGAAGAAGAACAATCCCTTATAACTTCATAATAAGGACATTCAAAATTTACATAATATATGCACACATGCAAGAGAAAGCAATGGATGGAGACTTGAACTACTATCCCCAAAAAGGTTGCAGTTATGACCCAAGACTTGAAAGTATGTGCACAGTACATAAGTATGAATGTGTAATAACCAGTGGGGAGCTGCAACAAAGAACCCTTTGAATAAAGTAGAATTAGTGGATAAAAATACGCCACATCCCAAATCCTATTGAACAGCTGAAAATTGTCAGTCTATCTCATTTCTGGAGTTATGTAAAAACTATGATAACCATGCCTTGGTAGTTGGTACTACAGTAGAGTTTCAATAGACCAAGATCCCTAACTGTCACAGATTAACACAAATCGAAAAGCTTTGCAAAACTTCACTCCTTAAGCTGGAAAACCGGATAGCCTAAGTTGCAGCGGCTTTTCACATCCACAGGGGCACTAGTCAGCGTCTCAGAGAGGAGTACCTCATGGTGAAACGGCACAAGAGCTGAACCAATAAAAAAATGTACTCACCGAACGGTGACGGCCTGGAGGTTGTCACCGATAGCAATGAGGTTGTAAGCGTGCCACAAGTCGTCCTCCTCCTCTGGCACCAACTGCGGACCACGACCGTAAGCCGAATCAGCAGCAATCAAGCAACCCACGGAACCCCAGCGGTTGGGTCAGCCCTAGCTCCAGCCTGCCAGAACAAGGCGAACCCAACAAGCAACCGGAGTGCTCGCACAGAGAGCACCGAGCGACATAGAGGGGGGGAGAGAGAGGTAAGAGGACCTTGACGGAGCCAGGCCCGTTGCGGACGAGGTTGCGGTGGACGAGCTTCATCGCTGCGGGCGAAGGGCAGAGGCCTCGTGCGCGGCTTTGCGTCGACGGCGGCGGGCGTGGCGGGGGTGAATCGCGGCGGACGGCGAGGGGATCGGAAAGTGTCGAGTTCGAGTAGGAGAGGAGAAGGCCAGAAGGGGCAGGTGTTTTTGTTTGTTTGTGACCCGATCGGACGGGTCAGAACACGGGAGGGAACGCGATAACCGTGTACGGCCCAGAAAGCCAGATTGGTGTCCAGTAGGATGTGGCCCAACAGGCCGAGCCTGGCTGGCTGGCCTACTGGGTAAGGTAGGCCCGACTCCGAGGATATCTCAGCAAAGCCTGGCCTGTGTACCGGGAATACACGGGACCCAGTCTCTCCTTGTAAACTCGCATCTTTTTAAAAAAAAATCTTACAGCCAGCTTTATTCATTGGACAGAACGGTTACATCTCTTACAAGCATTTGCGAAATGAAGGTAGGGGATCATCTATCCAAACAAGAGAGCTTTTGCCTACCAAAGCTTTCCTAGCTAACTCACGAGCAACGGAGTTACACTTCCTGATACAATGACTAATAGATATAACATTAAAATCATTCTAATATTGCTCGCATTCATCATATATCGTCCCTGCTGTTGTGGCCGAGAAACCTCCCTCTTGCATTGTTGTGATGACTTTCATACAATCTGATTGGAACTCCACTCGACTACAACCGATTCTGCTGCGCCAGTAGAATTCCATCTCTCATAGCTGCAGCTTCCGCCATGGCCGCATCCACGACATGTGGAGTGTAGCTGTGTGACGCAGCGATAAACCCGCCTGTGGAGTCTCTGATTATAACGCTTGTGCTTCCTGATCCTGAGATCTCATTAAATCCAACATCGACATTGATCATCAAGATACCCTCAGGCGGTTTCCGCTAGCCCTTATTGATCACAACACTTTGTTTGGTCGCCATGTTATAGTTTGACGTGATCGCTGCGATGGACAGGGCTGACCTTGGTGGTGATTGAATATCTTCTCCATGAATTACCTGTCTTCGCTGCCACCAGATATACCAGCATCCTGTCAAAATAATCTCGGATAGGCCAACATTACTCCACTGCACAGCTCGCCCTCCCCTTCTAATTGCTTCTTGTAGAACAACCGAGCCAGATCTATCCTCTGCCATTAGCGCTTGAATTTGTTGCCAAATACCGAGTACACTCCACACCTCTCTAGCCCGAGAACAAGCAAACAACGCATGCCTTATGTCTTCAACATCCGATCGAAACATAGGGCATGTTCCTGAATTCATGATATGTTTGTTTGCCAAAATAACAAAGCACGAGATACATCCATGAAATACACGCCAGGCAAAGATTTTGATTTTGCTAGGTAGCGCTAGGTTCCATAGTTGCCGCCAAACTGGCGTCGCCCTCGATCCACTTGCCGCCTCTTGTTGCACATTGTTTCCAAAGCTATGACTCCATTGACAATGATAGATTGATTTCACTGAGAATAAGCCATTCCGATTGAAGTGCCATGCAATCAAATCCTCCCACCCAGGGGCAATTGGAATTTGGAGGATACGGTGCACATCCATAGACCAGAAAAAGTGATCTAATTGACTAATCAGCTCTTCATCCCATCGACCATTAATTGAATTAATAACTTCATCCAGCGTTGAGACTAAAATATTACCTCCAGGAGTCAGCACTTTCATGTTGTGGCTACTTGGAATCTAGTTATCATTTCAAATGTTTATTTGTGTACCATCTCCGACTCGCTTAATATATCCAAGTTTGAAACATTCAAGGCCTGCAAATATGCTTTGCCATGTAAACGAACTCCCACTCATCCTTGCTTGAAGCAACTTACCATCCGAGTAATATTTTGCTTTCAAGACCCTTGCACATAGGAAGTCTGGATCACATAGCAGTCTCCAGACTTGCTTGGCAAGCATGGCTAAATTGAAGCTATGAAAATCCCTAAAGCCCATGCCTCCTTTACCCTTCGGAACACATAATTTCCACCAAGCTTGATAATGAATCCTTCTCTTTTCATCGTCATCACCCCACCAAAAATGCGATATAGCGCCCGTCGTCCCTTTGCATATTTTTTGGGGGATTTTAAAAACCATCATCGCATATGTTGTCGCAGAACCGCCCAAGTTATATGGCCCACACGTGCATGTCATTGTCCTTCAGACTTCTGACTGCTGCACATGGGAGCCAGACAACTCCAGTAGTCTGTCGGGTGCCCTCAGGGGAAACCCGAATCATCCATGTTTACCTTTCCGAGCAGGATACATCACAGGAAGCATTGCAGTATTACAACAGTTATACAAATATACAAATATATTACATCAGAGTAAGTGGCGGAAGTCTTACAAATGATAAGTTTACAAACCATTTATTTAGTTATTACAAACCATAAGTTTTAGCCATCCAGGTAGTGGGGTAACAAAAGAGTACCACTTATATTACACTCAAAAGAAGTTCACCCTGTCCAAGAGTGCACAACAACTGTCTACTGCTAGGACTCCTTCTCCAGAACCGCCATGCAGCAGGGGCAAAAGCCTAACTGCTCATGAGGCTCACCTGCAACAAGGGTTTAACAAACCCTGAGTACACAGGTACTCAACAAGTCTTAACCAATGAAAAGGAAAGACTCCAAGAATATGCAGGCTTACGGGAAATCAAGGTAAGTCTATAGTAAGAACAAAAATTACTTTTACATAAAAGCTTACTAACGTTGATCCTTACTTTCAATGTTTTAGCTTTGTATTAGGTCATTATTGGTATCTAGTTTGCACGTGGTCTAAATCATTCACTTCTTTAATCAGCTCATCTCATCTCATCTTATCTCATAACCATAAGTAACCATGTTTCATTGATTAACTATAATGATGGTGCAAGTATCAAGTCTCCTGTTACCATAGAGCAAACGGCGATTCAAATCAATTTGGCCCAGCTGAGGTTTCCTTATCACATGACATATGCAGGTCTAGAACCGGTCCCGAACCTACATATATCAACCCTCACTCAGATCCTCTAAAACAGGAACGGGTCCAGCGCTATCCGAGAGCACAGTACTCCACCTCCCTGCGCCACTCCTAGTGGATTCACAGGATGTGTACACGCTACTCTCGCCATCTCTCCACTCCTAGTGCGTAGTTGGCCTTTCATATAATAGAATGGCCGAGGTATTAGGCTTACGGGAGTATGTGACCAGTACTATAAAATCTTGATTCAAGGGCCAACAACGAATGGTCCTTAATTGACTCAGGCGGGGCACTATGTCAAGACTCACTTAACGTAAGTAAAGAGTCCGTCCGATCTCAGATTAATTCAATAATATCATTAAGTCTCTAGGTTTCCCCTGGTTATAAATCCATTGCATCATAAACTTTTTAAACAACTCTTTGCTACTAAGCAAAACTAAGCATTATAAAACTACTATAACTAACAGGGTGACAAGGAAGGATATGAAAATATCAAGGAAGGCATGCAACAGTTGGTGTACAAACAACTCCTATTTTACTTAAATGCATCATTCATAAGACTTAAGTGAATAACGTTTATAAAACTCAAGGGAAAGGGTTATGCTCCGGGGCTTGCCTTTAATGTCGGGGTTGTCAGATATTTTAGAAGTAACACAGTCCCCGGACCCAACCTCCACAGAGTGAAAACCCTCCTCTAGAACTTGCTCAACACTAGGGTCACCACTCGCGTTCACTAAACATAAATAAATATGCATACTTTAGGATGATGAAGTGCTACACATGTATCATGATGATCAACATGATTAATTTAGCTTGAGTACAATTTTCCTTCACTAAACAATTGGATTAATTACTCACTAAACAATATTGTTATTTATTATTAACATGTTAATTATAAGAACACAATCATGTAAGTAATTGCCATGGAACAGCAAGGTGTTAGGGTTCCAAGGCCCACAATCAACCCCAAAGTTCACTCAATTCATTCTAATGATTTAAGGAAATCATTTTTGTATTTTTATTAATTCATAAAAGGCATCCAAATTAAGTGAGCAAATTATTTTCATCAAAACAGGACTAAACTTTTTGTGGAGGTTGATTTTACTATGTAAAACATATACGCAAAATTTCAAGATTTTCAGATAATTATTTTAACCTATAAAAATCATAGAAGGTTTATTTATTAATTAAAAGAGGAAATTTTTAGACCTAGCAAAAGTATTGATTTCCACCAAATAATATTTTTCTCTGATGAAACTCAAGATAACAAGCTTACACAAAAATTTCATAATTTTATCAGTTTTAATTATTTAGTTATGAATTAATCAAGTTTTAGATCTTTTTAACATTTTCTAGAAAAAACCAAAAAGGATAAAATCCTTTTCTTACTCCCCCTCTCTCACTCACTCTCACTGACACGGGGGGCGAACCCGCGCCTGTGCTGACTGTAACACCTCGGGTGTTAGCCTTGCATAACTTGACTTGCATAATATGGGCATGAGCATCAAGCATTCATAAATCATCATTTACAATTGAAACATCTGATCGAAACATATGAAACATTGCTTGTTATTTCATGTTCCTTGTAACATATGCATATGATCATGTGCAAATGAATACTAGTGTGTAATGTTGGTCACTATAACACCTTAGCTACACTTAGGTTAACAAAAGGAACCTTGTTCATGAAGACCACATTTCTTGATCAAGCCTTTAAGTGTTATTTCATGTGTTGACCTGAATGGCTATATGTGTGACTACTTCATGAAATGCTTGAATGACCTTGCAAATTGTTTTAACATGCTTAGAGTATCATCATGAACAACTTTGGTATTTAGGGCTAGGGCTAGATTGGTCATTTAGCCATAGTTTGAATGTGTATCTTGATTTCAAAGTGACATGTTTGACTAAAGTTGAACTAGGTGTTAGAGACCTTGCATGGAGGAGTTCACTAAAACAAAGTTGTAGTGTTTGACATAAGGAACAACTTTTATTTTTATGTCATGGACTGATTTAGCTTCTAACATGCTTGAATTG